ATAAGACTTTAAAGTTTACAAACACTGTATTTTATACGCAAATACTGTAAGTTTTTTTTGGTTATCTCTAAACTCTAAAACTGCTTAAAGCGAGTGTCACTTCTTTAAACTTCGTTTCAATCATTTACTCCGAGTTTATATCATATAAACTGTTTGCAAGTCTACAGATTTAGTCAAATAAAGAAAAATACATTTGAAATGATACTTTAGTTTACTGGGAGGGCATAAGGCTTATAACATATTTAAACCATATTTTTTATACAATTTTTCCAATTACTATATGTTTACTAAAATATAATAGTTAAATATTTTTATATAAAACACATTTTATTTACTATTGATTTACATAAAAATGTCTTTTAATTTAATAAAGATATTATATCAAAAATATTGTTAATTTTATATAATCATAATATGATTAACATAATAATAAATATAATTAACAAATTAATTATAATTTGAACAATAAATCTAATAAAAATATATTTTAAATTGTATTTGCATTAATTAAATAATTATAGTGCAATTGTTATTTATACTTAATTAAAAAAATTATATAACTATAAATTATATCAGTTGTTCTGTATTAGAAATATAAATAAAACAAATACTTGAAAAAATGTTTAATTTCATAAAAAAACTTAAATAAACTATTATGAAATATTTTTTCAGATGATTATTAATTATCATAAAACCATTTAAACGTATAAAAAATTTTGACAAATAATTATTTGAATACAAATGTTAATGTGCATAGCATTTAAAATAGAAAATAATATTATAACAAATAATTTTTACTATTGTATATATTATTGCATTAAATATATTAACACAATTAAAAAATTTCTAATAAATATCACTATTTTTATACAATAATTAATTTTGAAACATATTTTTAAAAATCGTTTATTTACAATTTTTCCCATATTATGATATTAAATATTTAGTATTAGAAATAAATATTGCATAAAATATAAATTTATGATAATAATAAAATAAAAACTAATAACAATCTCAAATTTTATTACAGTGTAAAATATTTTTTAATGTAATATTAATACTAAAGATATTATTTATACCCTTATATAAATGATCATTCAGTTATAAAATATAAAATAAAATTAAATACATTATATTGTAAATTAAACAGTTTTTACAATTGATTCGACATTTATTCAAATATTGTATCATTAAAAATATATAATAATATAATAATGATTGTTAAGTAATAAAATGTATAGTTAAGAGATAAATGTTAAATTAAAATAATGTTTGTCAGACACGGGATAGCTATTGATAACAACAATGATTTTATAATCGATTATTTACTAATTTTTTTTCAATAAATCATTTCATTTAATTCTATGTATTGATAACTTAGTACAGGATATTAAACAAATTCATTAATTTAAATGCTAATTAATAGTACTTAGAAATTTTAGTTTAAAATTAAGCAAATAAAAATTTTAATTTAAATAATATAATAATAATATATTAACATACTTTTAGTTCTATTAATTAGTTTTTAGTGTCTCAATGAAAATTAAAGTCTATTTTCAAACATCGTAATATTAATTAATTATAAAACTTTTAAAATTGTAATAAATTTTGTAATAAAAGTTTACATTTGCATTAAACTGTAAATAACTGCATTAATAAATCAATATTTAAAATTGACTATAATTTAAATCCCATTAATTTCATTATTGAAATTTACCAAAAATCAGTTCAATGTTGCAAAATTGACTTTAAATTAAATTAATAACAAATTGCTTCAATTAATCAGTATTTAGTTTTTAAAGGAAATTCTTTGTTAATCAGTCGGCAATTAGATATAAATTTAAAGCTTTAGTTATAAATAATAATAATAGCTTTTGTAGTAATTTACGTTTTCACTCAATTTTCATTTTATATAGCATTACTTTTTTAAAAATATTGTTATTGTTTATATTATACAATAGTATAAAAATGACAATACTATTAAATAAAGGAAAATGCATTTCTGAAAACATGATTTGATTTTCAAATAATATTTAAAAAGATGACAACTTATAAACCAACCCTAAGGGCTCAAGAAATTGTGAATAAAATGTATTAAAATAACTCATAATTTAATATAAACTCAATAATATAGTGTAAATACAATATGCATTACTTTTTATGCCCATATAGTGTAAATTATAAATTTATATAAAAAAATTTATACTACTCTACATATATACTGTATTAAAGCCTCATGTGACTACTGATGTCTATTGATGCACAATAAAAATATATTATAATAATTTTATAGATATATCAGTACAGTATGTTATTTGGCACCTGTGAGATTTACATATATATATATAAACTCATTACTACAGTATAATCAGGGTTAAGTAAGGGGGGTAGGGGGTAAGGCCAAAATACCCCCCCCCTAAGATCGAGAAATTGGGATTTTACCCCCCCAGACTTTTTGACCAAATTGAAAAAATTGTCGCTTAAAAACGAGGAGAAATGACCCCCCCCCTAAAATTTCGGCGCCGAAGGCGCCGAAAATTTTTTTGAAATTTATAAAAATTTTAATTTTAGTTGATACTATTTTAGTAAGTGTTTTTATGTTTTTAATATTTATAAAAATCTAATTATTGATTAAAAATAGTTAAAATAACGTTAAAAGTCATCAAAAAATAACATTATTTTAATTAAAATAAACTAAAAAATTAAAAATTACCTATTTGTTGAAAAGAGTAATCATATTACAATTTAAATATAAGTTTAAGAAGTTAATAAAACAATAAATACTTATGTTTTTATTAATAATTTTTAAATTTTAAATAAAAAATTTAAAAATATTTTCAATTTTGTACTTAATATAATTAAACTTTAACGAAATTTGAGTTAAATAAGTAGTATTCAGTCAGTATTTGTATAAAAATAAAAATATATAACAAACTATAAACATTAAGTATTGTTTAAAAAATTAATTATGTTAAAAGTTAAAAATTATTAAAATACTAAAAATAACTCATAGTGTATCATTAATGCTTTTATCAACTATTTTTAAATCTTAAATACATTATTTTATTTTTTTTGTTAAAATTTAAGTTTTTATTAATTTTAAAAAAAATTTTTAAAAAATATTTATTTTTTGTTAAAATTTAAATTTTTGTTAATTTTTAAGTTTTTTTAGTTTTTTTTTATATTTTTGGAAATTTTACCTATTTTCCCGGGAATTTATACGGGAACTTGTGGGAATTTTATTGAATTTACATGGGAATATTCGGGAACTTAAGGAATTTTTAGGGAATTTTCTCTAGACCCCCCCCCCCCCCCTTGATTTTGGATTTTTGAAAAAATTGCCGTTTAAAAATGCAATAAAAATCTTACCCCACCCAATACCCCCCCCAAGATTTTTTGAGAATTTTGTAAATTTTACCCCGGTCTACCCCCCCCCCCCCCCCTAAAATCCAAAACCTTGCTTAACCCTGAGTATAATCTACTGTACATTAGATTTATACTCTAACTCTAAAAGCTATAATATACTATCAACTGATACATATTAGTTAACTTATTTTTCTTATTATTAAATAAATAACCCATTATTATATACAAAAATAAATATAATTATTATAATTATTATTATAATAATTTATTAAATAAAGACCAAATGGTTTTGTTAATATTTAAATTAACTTTTAAATTGATAAAATAAAACATAAATATATTGTTTATTGTATTGATTTTTGACAAAATTAAAGAGTTAAAAAAGTCTATTTAAATTCTAAATTAAAAAATGAATTATTTAATACATTGAATGGTTGGATACATTGTATGTGTTGAATATAGATCTCAATATGACTGTCAAATGAATAAATAAGATGAAAGATGCCTTATATATATTTACTGTATATTATATAACATATAAATTGTCGTCTCTTTCAATGTTTAGTCGACTTTCTCAGCGATGGTAATCATAAATATACCATTTCTTAGACTGCATGTTGAATAACATTCACAATATAAATTATATATATAAGTATGAAATGAAACTCAAATAATTGACTATATTATCGGATAGTATTTCACATTAATAGGAAAATTTCTTATTTTTTTATTTTTTATAGAAATATAAATGGTATTAATGTAATATAATGTTTGTTGTAAACATTTGTTAAAATATATAAATATTTAGGTAATAATTATAGTTATGTGTCAATTAAGTTATTAGTTATTTACAAAGTATCTTTTTTATATTAACAAATAAGACAAATTTAATGCAAGACTTAGTTAATATGTTTATATAACATAAATAATACATTACATAACTTTGTTATTAATGATTTATGCCATCAATATTATATGGTTTATCCAATGATATTCTTATGCCATAAATGCTAACTATTTGACTATAGAGTAGTAAAAGCAATACAATTTGACCGGTCATCTAATATTTATCATTAGTATTACTAGACTAGTATTATATTAAACATTTAAAATATTTTATTTCCATTAAATATCAAATAGTTAGCGGTTCCGTAATTCATATTCCTGTTTTAGTCTCTTTTAGTAAATGATTTTAAAAAGACATAAAAAATATTGATAGTTATGTGGTGTCAATTGATGAGCATATATTATAGCTATAAATGACACTAAACTTGTCATTTAGCCAACTCTAATGACATAAAATTTTATTATATAAATATCTAACACAATTGGCTTTATTTTTCCATATAATATCATTGCAAATATTGATTTATTACGATTCGGATATTTAGTTTTTTTTTTTTTAAATTGATTGTTTTTTCAAGCAAACAGTTTACGAATTTTAATCAATTATCACAAAAGTTGATTAATATGTTCAGTATAATAGTGTCAATAGTAATATACAAATAATATTTAATTAAATAATATAAAAATAAATATTTGTATAAAATTTGATATATAATTAAATATAATAATCAATGAAATTAATAGAAATATTTGAATGAAATAATGAGATATTATCATTCATGGCATACCTTTGATAAAGTCGACGGACTGCTCCAAACCATACGTGTCTTTATCGCAATCGTCCAAAACATAAGCGCCAATTGTAATGTCAGGCAGGATATCATCTCTCGAGTTAATCCAATCAATGGTATAAAGCATGCATTCAAGTGCTTGTATGCCTCCCTGAGGCATAATAGGACCACATATTTGACGATCTTCTCTCTCGTGAATCATCATTAGTGCGCCTAAAATGATAGAGCCGTCCAATTCGGCCACACGTTTGACGGGCCAACTCATGTTTAAGCCATTGGATGTGGTGTGAGTATACCGTTCCCGTCTAGAGTTTAATGTTTGACTTAGAAGTGTATCTAATTTAAAGTCATTGGTGTTCATTGAAGTCCACTTTTCTTTAACAACTAAACCATCACTACTTAAGTATAACTTGTTTTCACTTAACTCTCTATTATTGGCACTATTTTTGTCGATTATATTTGAATTTGTGAAGATTGGCACTGAAAATATGGGCTCAGATGAGACACCACTTACTAACAAATCTAAGAGTATCAGTGCTAATGTCATTGTTGTCATTAAAACATTTATAAGACCTCTATTTTTAGGCAATATATCTTTAGGCAAACATTTATACAACTTTCCCATTTTGTCTAACTTATTGTTAGTCCCATTACATAAAATTAATCTTAATAATTTATAATTGTTTTGTAATAAACATTTATAAATTGAATTTTTCACACTAATTAACATTTTATTAATTTTGTATTTATATATAAATATATCAATTAATATTAACTTATATTTAATTAACAATAATTTTATAATAACTTGAGTTAAACTTGTTTTGATAAACTGTATGCTATTATAACAGAGATAAACTGTAAAAGTTTTATTAAACACGAGTTAAGACAAAAACAACTTTATGTGAATTCAATGAAATTAAACTAATTTGAGTCGAGATTTGATGACAAGTCATACAAACAATACAATCATTAGATTCAATCGAAACGGCTTTAGTATCACTCCTTTTATATGAAAAGCACATGAGATAGAAATGTTTGGATATTAATGAAGTTAAAAGCAGATAACTATAGACAATAGCATATAAGGTATGGTTGAAAACATACTGAGGGATTGCAATCCGTGAGAAACAAACTAATGGCCAACTCTTTCAAGTCATGTCTTACACACAATCAGTCCTACATTTGTGTCCGACCGCCAGTGCGCGCACTCCTTCTCATCACTTGTACTAACCGTAAGAGCTGTCGATCGGTACAACATTGCAATCTCTATCAAACAACTAAAACCATTGTACAGTACTGTATATAAGCGCATGACGTGCTATATTACTACCAGTGCTATACAACTAATGTTATACAATATTAGTCTTGCATTTGTCGGTCACTATTTTGCCTATTAGTTGCTATCTTTCAATCCTATGATCCAAACAATAGACTTATCAATAGATTTGCCGATCTTATGGTTCTATATTTGTATTCCTATTGTTTGATTTAAATCAATGATACATATAATATATATCATAATCATTGGCAATCATATGTCAAATATAAGGCTTACTTTAAGTTCATTTTTGGCATTTAGTTGTTTCCTATTTTTTATCGACAATTGTATTCCCAAATTGTTTGCCACATTTTTGGCACATTTCAGACACATATACACATTATTATTAGTATTCAATGATTGTGTTCAATACAAACACTGAGATGTCATCAAAGACTTTATATAATTTCATTTATTGTCTCATTTTGTGTTAACTTTTTATGAAATATAAATCTGTTTTATTGTTGTTTTCATTAAAAGATTTGTTTAACAGTTGATTCAATAATCTTTACATTTAAGTCACTTTTAATTATGTTTAAATTTAAAATTAAATATAAATTGATAAATTAGATCTTTACTTGAATTTTAATCATTAAACAATATATTTGATTAAATAATTTAAAACATAATAATAATAATATATTTTATAGAGGTATTAGTAATATTATCATTTACTTAATTCATATTATTTATATGACTAGTATTATGTCTATTGTATATCAATTGTCGACTAAATAAACATATTATATAAATAATTACATTTCTAAACTATTATTAATATAAATAATATAGTATTTTAATTTTATTAAAATATGATATAGATAATTTATAACAAATTATTTGAAAGATTTATACAAAAAGATTTGAAATTTGAAAAAAACTAATTTTTTATATAAATTTTAATAAAACTTTCACACAATTTGTGACAACTGTATAAAAGAAAATAAATAATGATTTTTTTTAAAAAAAACATTATTAAGAAATACAGGAAATGGGTTATATAAGTTTATAAATTTATAAACTAATATAATATAAATTTATAATATTTGTCATTTTTACATAAAATAACATTAATTATAAATGATATAAAATATTACTACATATTTATATATTATTGAAATTAAGTTTATTAATGATTTCTTATGATAAACAATTAAATTAAATAAAATAATTTATTGTTATAGTTTATTTTTTAAATTAAGTGAAATATAAGATAAATAGAGCTATGGTTTAAACATGATTTTTACAATATATTTTTACATTATGATGACTTATAACAATATATTTACACAATTTGATTTTTATTATAATTATATCATGTCGTGTATTATGTAATTAAATATTTGTTTATTATTTCACAATATTACTTTTATTTATTAAGATTACAATCAAATATATAATTTATTATGAAAATTATAATTTAAATGATGATAACTATAAATATATATATATAAGTTACTCAATACATACATAAGCAATACCGTATTATTACTAGTATTTATTTAATTGTTGATTAGTAAATATAAATTATATTTATTGTTAAATATATTTATTTTTAAATATATTTTTGTGTTACATTTTTATTGATTATTGTTTTCTATAAAATGTACAATGCAAACTATATTTTTACTAAAATTTATTATCATATTAGAAATTAATATTTAATTATATTAAATAAAAAATAAACAATATTTAAGTTTTTTATTTCTTGTTTATAAAATTAATGATTAAACTAAATTTTCAATATAAATTCTTACAAATGTTTTAGATTATTATCTATTTATAAACATTAATTTATATTACATTTTTTAGAATTGTTATTAAAAAAACTAATAATAAGGAGATATAATTTTATTATTAAAACAAAATATTAAAATACAATTATTTTTTAATACAGTATTTTAAATTGAATTTGCGGTTTTACAAATAATATAAATTGATTGCTTTTATAATATGTTGTTTTATATAGATTATATTTTTTTTAATTATTTTACGTTATGTCAATTCTAAAAATACTAATTTTAGATAATTACTAAATAAATAATTTATTAATAAAATTATAATAATTACATATCTTTTTATTTTATGTTTTCTTTTTTAGTTGAGTTCTCTCACCATTTAAAAAAAATAATTTTTTACAATTACAAAAGTTTTAGTCATTATATATAAAAACTTTAATCTTCGTTTTAAAAGTCTGATCACATTTAAATAAATATCAGTTATTTTTAAAATTGATAATTTTTTGGAACTTTTTAGAAAATTTTCATGTTAATAAAAATTTTTTAACTTATGCTAATAATTAAGTGTGTACAGTATATGTAGTATTTATTTTTAAAATATATTAATTATACACTACTTTTAATTACTAAATATATGTTGCAAAATGAAACTTAACTGAATACTATTTTTGTTTTCTGAATAGGTTAAAATTAACAGTATTTTTTAGTATCTTTTTTATTTTAATTATGAATTTCAGTTAGTTTTTAAATTTTATACATTATTATAAGATTGAAAGTTTATGGTTGAGATAATTATTATTAGATATGACATATTGAAAGTTATACTCATATAAAATGCCACAAACTTTGTTTGAACTATGTTTTTATCTATTGATTTGTCTGTCAAATGATAATCAAATGAATTATGCAGTCGTATAGTACATGAATATCGAGATATAAAATTAATGGTTAATATTAGAGCCCAGAATTGAAATCTATGTATTAATTATATTTATTAATAATCTTAAAAATAAAACAAACAAATAAAATTTTATATTAATAAATGTAAACAAATAAATGTAAAATCATGAATGCTTTAAATATTTTGCAAAATGTTTTTTGAATTTTGGCAGTTTATTCTAAATAATAATTTTTTTAAATTGGTAAAACTTTATAATTTTTTATTTAATAAAATTTTGTATAAAATATAACTAACATTACATTGCTTTTCATTGCGGCCTTAGGTCAGTGTACTGTATATAAACTTAAGAGAAATATTTGGTCTATAATTAGATCATCAAGTATTTGAAAGTAATATATAGAAAGTGCAATATTTGCTAAAATTGACAAAATGTAATGTTTGTTAATAAAATTATGCTTTAGATATAATAAAATAATCTTATAATTTTATATTTAGTTATTTTAATGTTTATACTATAATAATATTAATACTCTAAATATTTTTATTAAAATTGTGAACTAATTTTAGCATGTTAAATTTAATAAAAAATGTTGTAAAAGAGTTTAATTAAATTTTAGATATAAATAAATATATATTGTGTTCACTAGTTTTGCAGTCATTTAGAAGTTTAATAAAATCAAATAAAGCAAACAAAATGTGTTTTACTTGAAAATATAAAAACTAATGAACAATAATTTTGTGCTTTACTTAAAATCAGTGTTGACTAAAATAAGAAATTTTTAGAAAGTTTCTAATAAATTACTGTCTATGAGATCCCCATGTTAATTTTGTTTTCTTGTTATTTGTTAACTTATAAAAATACATAATTAAATTTTATTAGTAGTATTCTTTATTAAAAATTAAAGTAAAAAATAATCTATTTAATTATATTAAACTAGAAATATATTTAAATAATGAATATAATTTTACGAAAACTAGTTATAATTAGATAATTAAAGTATAATAATAATTATATCATATATAGGGATCCCATTTTGTATAATACGATACGGTATAGTATATGTATTACCAAATGTCTTATTAATACAGTATTACAATAGCTATAAATATGGGATTCAATAGTATAATAATAAAATACATTAAAAATTATTAATTTATTGTTTTTTGTTGTAATTATTGACTCATTATAAATTAAATGTAAGTTAAAGCAAACTAGAGGTAAATTTCTGGACAATTGTTTCTATTGGGAAGTTGTATATAATGTAAATTTTATGTTATAATTGTAAATAAATAAATTTAATACATTTAAACACATTTCAGATAAATATTATATATTACAAGTGATACCAATTATCTCATATCTCTCCCTGACTTCACTTATGGCTATTAAGGCAAAAGTAAGTGTCAGGTCTGACCCTCAGTTGACCACTACTGCTGATGAAGAGAAGCCGATTTCCAGAAATTTACCGCTAGTTTGCGGATACAAAGTAGTGACCAACAA